CCAGCAGCACCCAGAGCTCAGTGACACACAGCTGGATGTTGGACATCCACAGCAGTCCCATGCCATGGCTGTGTTCATCTGGGCTCCATCCTGGAGGATGATGGAGTCATCTCCCACCCAGCCTAGGCAGAGATAATTTGAACCCAGTCACCAATGCAAGACTCCAGTAAAAATTTATCTTTACTCAGTGCTAGACAAAAATCTCCAGGCTGGAGGTGGCTCCATGGACCACCTTGGCTTATGGATTTTTTCATTCTGTCCCAAGATGCTCTTTCCCCTTCTCCCTCTTCTGCTGCCAGCAGCTCCCCAGGGTCAGGGGAGGAGAAGGTTGTGCAGGGTAGACCAGCCCCTCACCCCACTGTGCCCGTTGGCCCCCCCAGTCTCTCCTTCCTGCTCACGCCTTGACGTCGGTGCCGGCGGGTGCGAAGCTGACGGGATGGTAGCCAGGCTTGTCATCCTGCTTGCGGTAGTACATCCGCGTCAGCACCGCCAGGATGAAGGTCTGTGGGATCAACAGCTGCATATTCATCTCTGGAAGAGGAGAAGGGTCATTTGAAGGTGCCTCCATCCACCATGCCCACCCCCCATGCCATGCCACGTGATAGAGGGGCTTGGCTGGGAACATGTGGTGCTGCTCTCCCATCTCCGACTTACGCTGTGACCTGGCCTTGGAGGAGAAGGGCGGTGAGCAAGCGATGCTGCCACTGTTGGCCAGGATGCTGAAGATAGCAGGCTGGAGCGCCGTCAGGAGGAGCAGGAGCTGCGACCACAAACACTCCCATGGTGAGGGCTGTGCCGCTGCCCTGCTCCCAGCTTTCACCTTCCCTGCTGTCCTGCAGCCAGCAGGACTCTCACCCAGCAGTGGCTCCTGCCCCACCATCTTCTCTCATGCTGCCTCACCCCATCTGTGCTGCAGGAGCCCCTCACCTAGGAGGGAGCTGGGCAGGACAGAAGCTCACCTGGAAACAGGTGAACTTGGCCTGCATGTTCTGCTCAGCCAGGTGCAGCCGGGCCTGCCGGAAGAGGATGCCCAGGGCCCACAGCCCAAAGAGGGTGGAGACACCAACCAAGGTGTTGATCCAGAGGGCCACACTTTCTGCTGAAATCTGGGGGGGACACACAGAAAACGTTACTGGGCTGACAAAGCTCAGGTGGAGATTTCCTGTCTAGGTCATCAACCTGCCCATCCCTGTGCTCTGGCACTCACGTCAGCAGGGTTGTAATTCCCATCAGCAGCCAGGATCAGCCCCAGGAAGACAGCGACTGCCCTGAAGAAGGCATACTGGAAAGTCCCCAGGATCATCAGTTTAAGCTTTTTCCTGGCACAGCGAGAGAGACTGGTAGCACACTGAGCTCCCCAAGTCCCTGCCCAGGGACGTCTCTTCCAGCCCAGCAGAAGCAGGGGATGAAAGCTCTCTAGAGGCAGAAGTTTATCTAGACCCCCTCACCTGCTCATGGTGATTCGGGGCAGGCAGGGGCAACAGCAGCAGCACGGCCCAGTGCTGATCACCATGGACACATCCTTCAGGGTGCTGAGCAGCACTTCCTTGCCCCCAAAGCCCTCCACCATGACCAGCATTAGCAGGTAGAAGCAGACAGCAAAGTACCTGGGGAGGAGGAAGGCAAGTCAAGCCCTGTGGGCTCCATGGTGGCCTGTCCCAGGGTGGGTGATACTCACGCTGTGGTAGCCATCTCCACCACCATCATGACACTGCTGTCAGTTGTGATCTATGTGGAAGAGGTTTCGTACCTCTTCCGCAAGATCCGCTGCCCTATCAAGATGAAGAC